AAAAAAAAAAAAAAAAAAGAAGCAAAGCCCAAAAGAGGTAGGTGCAACGGGGCTAACGTCCCTTGCGAGGCACTAGAAGGTTAATTCGCTTAAGACCTACATATAGGTTAAAATAAATAAAATGAATACTCAAACATTCGTACAAAAACGAGTGTACGAGTACGAGTGGCATGGGCACGTAGGGACTAGTGTCCACGTGTAGGGGTAATTTTTGCGAACAAAAAGTTGAAAGGCAGTAGGCGAGGAAAAACTGGTTGGGGGTGCTAGCTTACAAACATAGTTCCATAGTTTAGCTATACGGTTAAAGTACGAGGCCTGAAAAGTTGATGTTTTGCAAAAAGGGGTGCGAAGATAAAAGGAGTTACTTAGTCTTGTACGATCATGGGAAACAAAAGATACATAATTCCGAACATCTCAATCGGTACTACAGTAAAGGAATTTATAAAAAAAAGATCAAATCTTTAAGTTCACGATCTAGAGAAAGTCTAGGAAAGTCAGCCGCTCTTTGTACGACGTCTCGTCTCTGCGCGTGCGTAAAATCCACCTGCTTGCATGTCTCTGCACCTGTTCCACCTTAGCATTCAGAGTAACGTAAGCGGGCGACCAGACTTATGAGGCGTAACACAACTGTGACTTGACCAAAGACAAATAAATCATTTGAATGCAGGAGAGGCAGATATGTGGAAATATGTGGATGATAAAGGCCAAGAGAGTTGTATTCAGCAAGTGGTAGAAGATCTCCCAATACAAGCAAGGAATGACGGATTTCAGTTAAACGAAAGGAAATGCAAAGAACTCATGATTAGCTTCGCAAGGAACGAACCAGAATTTGACCCTATTTGGGTTAACCGTCAGACCCTAGAGACTGTGACCAGTGTGAAATTGTTAGGACTTAATATTAGCAGTGATTTAAAGTGGAATGTCCATGTGTCAGAACTAGTTAGAAAGGTCTCAACAAGATTATATTTTCTAAGACAGCTTAAGAAATCGCATGTTGCTACAAGAGAGCTTCTTTTTTTTTACATCACATGCATTCGCTCTATTCTGGGGTACGGCAGCCCAGTTTTTCAACGCCCTCTACCAAGTTATCTAAGCAAAGACCTTTATACTGCAAAAACGATCTGTGAAGATTATTTACCCTGAGCTATCATATGCTAAGGCTCTAGAGCTGTCCGGACTTTTAACACTGTATGATAGAAGAGGGGCAATTGAGGCAAGTTGTTCGATGAAATATGTGCTAATCAATCTCACTGTCTTCAAAACCTACTTCCAAGTAAGTACCAGCCAAGCTACTCTCTGAGAGAACAAAGAACATTTTTTCGTCCAAAGCGTAAAACTGAAAGATGCAGGAATAGTTTTCTTTTAACGTACGTTTACAGTAGTTGAGAACTATGTTATGCGTTCCTGCCCCACGAACGTCTGCTGACTTGAGCGGAAAAAAACGTAGACCAATCACAGCAGACTTGAGATCTGGGAAGTGCACTTTGGACCTTGAGAAATTTCCCGCTTGACTTTGCAGCTCCAGAAAAGACCAGAAAGGTCTCATGAAAGGTGAAGACCTTACAGTTTTAGAACAAAGTACCCAGTTATAGTTTATAGTTTATGGGAAAAAAAATTCTGCCTTTTGTTCAGTCTTACAAGGTAACCCCGCCGTTGCATCACCCAAAGAACAACTTTATGAGCAAATGAAGTCTAATCCAGCCTTTACAGAGAGAAATATACAAAAAGTCAATGCTTATCTCCTATGTTCTCGTCAGGAGCAAAAATCTTTAGTCAAGTATCACACTCTGACTAGATGACTATATTGATACGCCCACCTTAATTAAAAGGTAAAATTAGCCAAAAATGTCGAAAAATAAATTCTTGCTTATTAGTTTCTACTTTTACAATTTATTTGTTCAATTCTTTTTCCTTTAGTCTGTTATCTAGTCCTCATCCATATTACGATTTTTATTTCATTTATTTGTAACTAAATGCAATCTTTCCTTAGTTAATAGCCTTAATCTTTATTTCTTATATTTTTCACGCATTGTCCCGCCTCGAATAGCATTGCTAGCTGCGGCCAATACTTTCCTAATTTTCTTTGTTTATTACTCTACAGAGCCTGTACGTATGTGTTTGGCTTGTCAACACTTTGACTTCAACAGCGCCGATTGGATCTCCAATAATCTGCAAGTGATCTCCAGCCAGTATTTGCGAAGAATCGGAAAGGAATTTATCTGTCGGTTCAGCAGACGTTCGTGGGGCAGGAACGCGTGACGAACGCAGTGGCAGCCATGGACAGCTGTTTCGCCCTTCTTGGGGTTCATTAGCATGGCATAGCCGGGGGTTTATGAACGGGCAAAACCCGTCTATCAAAGTCCCTTTTCTATGCAGAGGCGAGTGCAAAAGTACTCCTAGGCC